GTGTTGGGTGTAGATCCCTGGCACTTTTGTGGGTGTCTCAATACAGAACTCCAGTAGATCAGGGTTTCCTTAGGGGAAAGGCTGCCTTAAAGAGACTGAGGGAAAGGGAGGATTATAGTATTGAATGAAAGCAAGACATTTCATCCCCTATGTTCAGCTGAACAGATTTGGTGCATGCAGGTCATAGTGCACTCACCACAGTGTGATTCCATCTCTGAGGATAATGATGACAGAACCTTGTGAGATGCTCTTTTTGAATGGAACAATTCAGTAGTCTCTATCCAGAATAAGAGATTTGTGAAGCTATGTCCAATATGTGGGTTAAAAAAAAATCAATTGCACAAGTAGAAGATATAGGAAACATGGCTATACAACAGTGTATGAAATGAGGGTTTTACTGAAACAGACTCAGTGTGATTCAACAATGTGACATGGCAGCCTAAGGGCCCAAGGCAATGTCAGGCAACATCAACAGAGACAGAAAAGAAACCATGAAAGACTCTAGAAAGATCCCTGACCATCTGACTAAAGGTTAACTTCTGAGATGCTTACCAACTGGGACACATCCAGAAAAGGATGGTTAGCACTGTGAGAAGACTGGATATGATGCCTTATTCAGATTAGTTAAGAGAAATTGAGATATAACTATTTCCTAGCATTGAAGGGCTGCTATATGGAAGAAGGACTAAACTTGATCTGCTTAACCCCAGATGATGGATATAGAGCAATAGGTGAAAAATGCCGAGGAAGATTTAGAGTCAATACAAAAAAAACCCCAACAACTTATGAATAGAATGGGCTATGCCAGGAAGAGGTTGGTTATTTGCTGTAAGCTTCAAAAAGGGGCCAGATGACAATTTGTGAGGAATGCTATAGTGTGGAATCTTGTTCCAGATACAGAATGAACTGAATGACCTCTCAAGTCACTCCCTCCTCAATGATTCTAAGAAGAATGTAGAGTCAAACACTTACCAAGGTTGTGCAGGTGGGAATGTGAAAACATAGTGGTATGTACCATTGATGGAAATAAAAGTCAGAAAGTGGGGGCCATGGTTTTTTGTTTGTTTGTTTTGTTTTTGTTCTTTGTTTCTTGGATAAAGATTATAACTTGATTTTGGTCAAGCTGAGTTTGAGGTACTAGTAAGACATTCAGATGACACGTCCCACAGTAATCTGGAGGGAGAGGATCAGCAGTGATAAATGTTGCAGAGAAGTCCAAAAGGATGAGTACTGAGAAAATGCGATCAGATTTAGCAATTAAACAATTACTGACAATTTTGGAGAGACCAGTTTTAGAAGAGTGATGAGGCTGGAGACCAGATTTAAAGGGTTAACAAATGAGTTGGAGGAGAGTAAAGGGAATGAACATAGAAAGTTTTTCTAGGTAGTTAGGGGAATTGTAAGATCTATTGAAAACTTTTTTTAAGGATGAATAGACTCTAATATATCTGTAGGCTGTAGGAAAAGAACCAGTAGATAAGGAGCGATTGGAGATTAATGGGGAAAATTTGCAGAAGATGGGAGGTGATAGGATCAAGGGAAAATGTAGGAGGGTGGCCTTGATCATTAGAAGAAACAAAATTAATTGATCACAATTCATCACAAACTGAAATTAGGAGAAGAGAATGGAGGATGATGTCAAGGCATTCTGAGACAGAGAAAAAGGGAGAAGAGGGAGTTCCTGGTGAATAGTCTTTTTTTTTTTTTTGTGAAGCATAATATGAGTTCCTCAGCTGAGTAGTTGGGGAAAAGAATAAGTATGGATGGTTAGAAGGGGAAAGAGAGGTTTGAAATTGTCTCTCTCTGGGGGATCAAATAACAAATCAATTAGGTAAAAGTTAAAGGATTGCCTTCATGTAATGACGGCTCAGTTGAAATTAGATAACATTAATTTGTAGTGGACAGTTGGCCATGTTGTGGGATTTCCTCTAGTTCTATTCAGTCACATATGAGTAGAAGCAAAGGAGGTAGATGGTAGGAGTAATTCAAAGGTGTAGAATGATCAAGAAGCAAATACAACTTTGGGGAACTTCTACCTTAAAAAGCAAGGATAAAGAGACACAGGAGGATTGATTGAGAGGTAGAGCTGGCTGGGTATAGTGTCTCAGAAACCAAGTGGTGATGAGAATAAACAGAAGGAAAATCTGGTAAATGGTGAAGGAAAATACAGAAGGATCAAAGAGGTAGGGACTGAGAAGAGGCCATTTGATTTGGAAATTAGAGATTGGTTTCAAGATATGGTGAAAAGGCCATCTACAATAGATGCCTCCACTGTCTTCCCTCCCATGTTCACCTTCAACCCTTACAATTCAGTTCCTGACCATATCATTCCACTGAAATGACTCTCTCCAAAGTTACCATGATTTCTTAGTTGCCAAATCCAAAGGCCTTTTTTCTATTTTCAGTCTCCTTGACCTCTCTGCAGCCTCTCTGTTGATCACTCTCTTGTCACTGACACTCTCTTCTGAGTTTTCAGGACACCTCTCTCTTCTGGTTCTCTTACCTAACCATTCCTTTTTAGTCTACCTTGGTAGATAGTCATCCAGATCATGCCCTCTAATTATAGGTGTCCCACAGGATTTTCTCCTGGGTCCTCTTCTCTTCTCCTCTAAAATACTTCACTTAATAATCTCATCAGCTCCCATGGATTTAATTTCCATCTTTATGCTGATAATTCTCAAATCTACCTATCCTGCCCCAAATTCTCTGCCTACCTCCAATTACCTTTCAGACTTCTCAAACTTGATGTCTAGTAGACATATCAAACTCATTACGTCCAAAACAAAACTCATTATCTTTCCCCCTAAACCCTTCCCCCACCCCCTACCTTCCCTATTACTTCCCAGTCCCTCAGGCCTGAAACCTAGAAGTCATACTGGATTTCTCACTAACTGCCCTCCACATCCAATCTGTTGCCAAGGCCTGTCAGTTTCACCTTTGCAAAATCTCTTGAATATACTCCCTTTTCTCCTCTGACACTATACTCTAGTTCAGGCTCTCATCATCTCATGCTTGGACTGTTGCAATAGTCTGCTGGTGGGTCTGCCTTCTTCAAGTATCTCCTCACTCCAATCCATCCTCCATTCAGCCACCAAAGTAATCTTCCCAAAGCACAGGTCTGACCGTGTCATTTGCCTACTCAATAAACTCCCAGTGGTTTCCTATTGCCTCTAAGAACAAATACAAAAGGCTCTGTTGGCAGTCAAAATCCTTCATAATCTAGCCCTCTGTAACCTTTCCAATCTATTTTTACCTTACTTCCCAACACGTACTCTTTCATCCAGTGACACTGACCTCCTGCCTGATCCATGAATATGAAACTTCACCTCTCAGCTGTAAGCATTTTCTCTAGCTGTCCTCCGTACCTGGAATGCTCTCCCTTCTGGCTTCCCCATCTCCCTCCAATTTCCAAGTAAAATTCCATCTACTACAGGAAGCATTCCACAATTCCTCTTAAGTCTAGTGACTTTCTTTTTTTTTCCTATTTATTCTGTGTATACTTGTTTATACATATTTGTCTGCTTTTGTCTCTTCTTTTAGACTGTGAGCCCCTTGAGGGCAGAGATTGTCTTTTGCCTCTTTTTGTATCCCCAGTGCTTAGCAAGGTTCCCAGCACATACTAAGTGCTTAATATTTATTGACTAACAGACATGGAAACCGACTGAGAGATGGTTAAGGATCACGAGTAGATGGAAATTGGAATTACCTGATATAGACATTTTTAAGAAATATGATTGTGATGGAGAAAATGACGAGGGACAGTATTAAAAGGACTGAGAAAAGTTGTTTTGCTTTATTTTATATTAGGGAAACCTGAGTAACAAATAAAGCTTTTCTCTCAACTTACATTAAGGACTTCAAGACTGAAAGGGAAATGGCTTTTTTATTCAATACAGAGAGCAAGAATACTGTATGCATTTCTTCATTTAAACTCCACCAGAGAGAACATACTTCTGATATGTAGAATCAATAGCTGAATGGCCAAGGACTAGATATACAGAGGGACTGAGGAGTTCCTTATTAATGGCTGGGTAATTTTTGTAAGAACATTAAAAGCAAATGGAAAAATAAAAACTGAAGTTGTAGAAGACAAAGTGGATATTTGCTTGAACAGGTCAGGAGATGGGAACAATGACACAGGCAGAGAACAGACACAGAAAGAGGTAGAGACAATACTTCTCTTGAGATAGGAGGGAAGGAGAAAATGGTCAAGGACACTAAGAAGTTTCAGGGAATCAAAAAGGGAGTTCAGAAAACTCAATCAGATGTGCTGAATCTCAATGTAACAAGAGGCCAGATAACGTGCTTTAAGTGTGGAAAGGTAAAGGTTGAGAACTTCTATAGAAGAGGTCTTAAAACTGACATGATAGAAGAGAAAGTGAACATAAGAGTGGATGAAGAGCAGTGAGGACCACTGAGAATATGCATCACAAATTCATATACTGGGTGAAATCAGTGTGAATGCATAAATTTCTTCACTGTTTTTGGGAATTAAGAAGTGAGAGGAAAGAAAATAGATGGTGAGGTTACCTAAGATGTGGATTATCAGAAGTCAAAGCCAGAAGATTAGGGAAAGTGAGAGATTCTAGGGTGGTATATAGGAAATCATAAAGTGTAACATCATAACAGAGTCAAAACTAGTTTGGGAGCTAACTAAAACCAGGGTAAGGGCAGTCACTCATCAAGATGTCTGAGAAAAGATAGACAGGTGGATTACTGAAGATCTAGGACAGAATGCAAAGAAAGAAAATATGCTAAAAAGATTTATAAATTTCCATTTTAAAAGTATAATCTGACATCTTTTAGAGAGTAATATATGTCAACTATGTTTACATTTTTCCTAATTTTTTGAAATATTGGAGGAATAAGAGGTAATTATTATGTGCTTTTTGAGCAGAATTTTATCCTTTCGTTTAATATACTGCTGTTCCAAATTTGCATTTATGCCAGTAAATATTTATACTAGTTTTTTGCTAACTAAGCATATTTTGAATACATACCTGCCCACAGAACAAATAGCTTTGCATGTGTAATGAACATTTCTGCTGAAGTTTTCAAGGTCATAAAGTGCAATAACGCCATCTGAACCACCTGACAACATGCTGTCAAAAAAAAAAAGACACTTTTTATTTTACATCATCCATTTATTTGTGATAACTGATTGCTTACTTCTATCCAGGGATTAAGTTTCAAATAACTGAAATGTAATAAGCACTTAAATGTAAATGGTAAATTCTTATTTAGACTACTAGTTTATGATAATTTGATACAGCCCAAAATGGAGTTTACCATTGTATTACCTATAAAGGCATGGTTTGCTAGTAAATTACAAAAAAAATTGTAGAGGTCACATTGAACCATCCTAGGAGAACAAATTGGTTTTTAGGACTTCAGCATATTAATTTTATGCCAAGCAATAGTATTAAGTGTAGCAGAAGGAGTACTGGACTAGAATAAGACCTGAACAAGGTATGTGACTATAATCTCTGTGAACTCCAGTTTTCTCAACTGTAAAATGGGTAAACACTATTTGCAAAGCCTACTTTATGAGGCTTATGAGGATCAAATGGTATTATGCCTGTAAAGTGCATTGTCAATCATCAAGGGCTCATAAACTCATCAACTATAGATAGTGGTGCTAAAATTGACTAACCCTTCACTAACGCCAGTTGTGCAGGCTCTTTACTTGCCAATGAGTATGTAGCTTTTGCTCACATATAGAAAATTGCATTTTAAAAATCCCAACAATTTACCTTTTTTTTTCTTAAACCACTTCAAGACTGGCTTTTGCTGGCAATTTTTACAAGCACCGTTTTGGGATTATAGTTACTTACCACAAAAAATTTATTAAATTAACAAAATGAACTTACTATCTCCTCTCAACAGGTTCGATATCAAGGGTGTTGACACCATTGCCATGTATTCTTTCCACATCTCGGTCTTTATTTAATTCCAATTTTAAGACCCTTTGGAAAAAACATAAAAAGTAAAAGGAAAAAGGAACAAATTAAAAATGATTTAAGAATGTGGAGGTTTTCAATTTCAGTAAAGTTCGAACTCAGAAAAAAAATACTTTATGGTTTGCATTTTCCCCTTTCTCACCTTCATACTTATAGTAGAGACCTAGTATAATTTTACTAATTGAATTAAATTTGCTTAAAGACACAGAATAGCATTTTCTGGAGTTCTGCAGATTTGAAGATTCGGAACTGAAAAGAGATTTTTTCATAAATGAAGTTAAACACTAAAAATATACTCAAGCTTATGGCTAAGTTGAAAGAGCTGAATTTGAATCCCCACTCAGCTACTGACTGATGAACTTTATGTCTGAGGGCAAATCATCTCTCTGGGACTCAGTTTTCTCCCTTGAAAAAATGAAGCAGCTGGGCCAGATGATCTTTTGTCAGTAAATTTGAATAAAATAAAGTTACGTAGTAGACACATTTACTTAAGCCCTAAGTCTCAAGTAGCTGCTTCCCCATGTTATCTCTAAATTATATTTTCAAAATTCAGGAAAATGGAAGATTTTTCAAAAAGTCTAACCACAGCCCTAGACTCACTTCAGGTTTCCCAGGAGAGGGTAACAGTCCCCCAGCTCCTCCATTCTGTTGAAAAACCAAGAGATTCATTGTTCAGGTAAAATGATCTCAAGAACCCTTTGTGCCTTGCTGACAGTAGCATTAATCAATGCACAATGTGTTTCCCTCTCAACAATGCAGAAAACTTACAGGGTGTTATCTGGATCCCTATCATTGGAAACATTCACAAAATAATGGGAAACCACTTTGCAAGGATGTGGCAGAGGGAATCCTGTATCAAGCTGGTTGGATTAGAGGACCTCTAAAGTTGCTGCCAAACTGAAGAATCTAGTGTTCCAAAAGCTCACTCAAGGAAATTTTTAAAAATATACAACTCTAAGCTTTTAAAATATGAGAAGAAATTTAATTCAATAACTATTAAGCATCTGTAGTTCACTTTTATGTCAGTGCTGTCTCCTCCATGGAAGTAGGGATTGTTTCATAAATTGTTATTTGTATCCCAGCGGCTAGTATCAAGCTTGGCACACAGTAGGCACTTGATGTTTTTTGATTGATTTTGCCTATGTGTTAGCCACTGTGCTGGGGATATGACAAAAAGGAAATAGTCTCTGTCCTTAAAGAACTCACATTTAACTGGGAGTGGGGGCATGGCAGATGAGTACCAGATGAGTAAATACAAAAATCCATAAAAAGTAATTTTGGGGAGGAGGGAGAGGACCCTAAGATCAGGGGGGATGAGCAAAGGCATCATGTAGGAGGTGGCACTTGAGTTGATACTTGAAGGGAGTTAGAAGTTTCAAGAGACAAAGATGAAAAGGAAGTGCATTCCAGATGGAGGGGTACAGACACAAAGAGAGGCAGGTGATAAAATGTCAGGTCTGAACAATAATTAGTAGGCCAGTCTGAGGGGGAGTGATGTGTAGCCATCTTAAAAAGATACGTTGGTGCCATACTGTGAAGTGTTTAAATGACAAATAGGGGATTTTGTATTTTCCCCTTGAGGCAACTGGGAGTCACACAATTGATTCATGAGCAGGGAGGGGAGTGACACAGTCAGGCTTGTGTTTTAGAAAGACTGATTTGGAGGAAGCATTGGTGAGGGGAATGAATGGAAGCAGGGACATAAAAAATTAAAAGGCTAGTGCAAAAAAAAAAATAAAGGCTAATGCAATTGTCAAAGTCAAAGGTAAAGTGGTGGCTGAATGAAAAGGAGAAAGATGTGAAGGATGCTATGGTGGCAGAATGGACAAGATTTGAGACCTGCCTAAGTTTGGAGGTGGGGCGAGGCAGGTCAGGAAGAAGGATGACTCCTCGGTTGCTGACCTCAGTACATGTTGCCTTTAGAGAATTCAGTTAGGATGGGTTTAGGAGGGAAGATAAGGAGCTCTGCTTTGGATATTGTAACTCGGGACAGAGATGAGGTCTAGACATCTAGATTATCAGAAAGAAAAAAGAGCCTAGAATTGGGTTATATCCACAAACAGGATGGGATATGGATGATGATCCTGTAAAGAAAACTTAGAACGTACAGTTAAGGCTGGAAGGAGGAGAGTTAGAGGATCAGTGTCACAGAAACCCAGGAAAAGATGCCAAATGTTACACAACTGTTAAGGAGTATTAACATTTGAAAAGGACACTGAATTTATCAATAACAGATCGTTGTTAACTCTGAAGAGAGCAGTTTCAACTGAGACAATGGATATAGACAGCTTTTTGCAGAAGTTTGGCTGTGAAAAGGAGAAGAGATATAGGAAAACTTGTAAATATATATTGTGATAGAAAAGAGAAAACACTAGGGAAAAAAGTCTATTTTCTTTAAAACTAGTCAACTTAAGTATTTATCATTTATTAGGGAAGCAGCCTGGTATAGCAGTAGAAAGAGTATTGGCTCTGGATCCAGAGGCCCTGAGTTCAAATCCCAGTTCTGATGCTTACTTTATGTGTTACCTTGAGGGGCAGCTAGGTGGCTCAGTGGATAGAGCACCAGCCCTGAAGTCAGGAGGACATGAGTTCAAATCTGGCCTCAGACCAAACACTTGATACTTACTAGCTGTGTGACCCTGGGCAAGTCACTTAACCCCAACTGCCTAAAAAATAATAATATCTGTGTTAACCTCTATTTTCTCAATATGATGACCTGCAAAATAAGTGTGTGTGGGCCAGTTAGACTAGATGCCTTCTGAGGCCCCTTCCAGAAGACGATCTTGTTTTGAATCTTTATTTAGATAAGCAATGACTATATTAACTTTCTACTAGTTCAGATTTTCCTCTAACAAAGTTTTACTCCTTATGGTGGCATGGAAAAGTCTTAGGTTCTTAAAGACTATATTCACAGAACACAAGCTATGGAGTTTATTACCAAGATACAGAAAGACTTTGGGTATGGATCTGAAGGTGGACATACCTGTCTCCAAAAATGAACACAACTATGTTTAAAGAGGTTCATCACCAGGTTGGCCATCAGGTGACTGATTAATTTGAGTACAGTAACCCAAATATCATCTATCAAGGACGTAGGTATTATTACTTGTCAAGGTGTGGAAAGTACCTACACAAAATGAAATCACAAATCCTTTAAAACTCTATGGCATGAGACTCTTTCAATTTTGTCTTTCTACCTCCAACATTTTGTGCAAATGAAGCACTTAATACATATTTATTGATTTGTTTTTTGAAATTATTCAGATTTTACTACATTTTCAGATTTCTACCAATAACTAAAAGGAATTATCATTATATTTACTGCTTCATGGGATACAATTTATTTCTGTTTTGCTACTTCTACATTAATTCAATGAGAATACTTCTGGAAAATTGGAAATTTTACATTTCCATAGTTTTATTAGAATATTCACAGATAATTAACTTAAATGTCCTTTGAGGATCTACAATAATCTATTTGAGAATGGGAATCATATTCAAATATTTCATAAATTATTTTTATAAATTACCTTAACACACTGAATTGGGAAAGGGAGGGAAAGAATCTTTACTCTTCCTTATATAGTCATCTACCTGTATAACAAGGAACAGGCTATACAATAGAAAAAAAATTGGTATATTAGGAGGCAGATAGTTTAAGTAGTAAAGGATGAAGATATGGAGGTAAAAAGCAGAGCAGGCTAATAAAAGATAACTGTTGAAGAAAGCAGTTTCAGTTTTTGCCCTCTTTGGGAGCTGTTAACCATAAAGGTACCTTTTGAGGCTCTTCTTGAAAGAAGTGAAGCAGCATGTGGACACGGACCAGCTCAGGAACAAATACCACTACATCCCAGACAGTAGGATGCAGGTAAAGGATGCAGATAATGGGCCTTAAAGGCTATAAGGCAATGAAAAGGAAGAGAGATGACAATCAATAACTTCAAAGGATGGCAGGGTCAAGCAAAGATTTTTATGGGGAGACCTGAGGATGTTTGCAGGTAGTAAGGAAAAGAGTCACTTCATAGTACACAGAACTACTACAATAGCTTGTTGGTTGGTCTGCCTACCACAAGCTTCTCTTTACTCAGATCTATCCTCCTGTCCATCCAGTTGTCAAAATGATCTTCCTGAAGTACAGGTTTGACCATTTTATCCTTCTCTTACTCCACTCAATAAATTCCACTGGCTCCCTATTACCTACAGGATCAAATATAAAATACTGTTTGGTATTCAAAGGCTTCATAACCTGCCTCCTGCCCCTTAGCTTTCTAGTCTTCTTACACCTAACTTCCAAGTATACTATGATCCAGTGACACTGGACTCTTTGTTATTCCTCCAATTCCTGACTTCTAGCATTTTCACTGGCTGTCCTCCACGTAGGGAACGTCCTCCCTCTTCATCTCTGCCTCCTGGCTCTCTTCAAGTCCCAGCTAAAATCCCACCTTCTACACAGGAAGCCTTCCAGATCCCACTCTCTTAATTCCAGTGCCTCAGCTCTGTAGCTTTTTGCATATTGTCTCCCTCATGAGATTATAAGCTCTTTGAAGGCAGGGACTGCCTTTTGCCTCTTTCTGCATCCACAGCGTTTTGCACTGTGCCTGGCAAGTAGTAGGCAATTAATAAATGTTCAGAGATTGATTGATTTTAACTTTTTTTGTATCCCCAGAACCTAAAACAAAGGTTGATGTTTAAAAATGTTTGTTGACTGTGATAGGTGATGAGTGTCTAAATATAACGAATGAAATAATGCTAACTTCAAGACGCTTTCAGTGTAATGGGAAGAACACACGAACATACAAATATATCCACAGAATACAAAAAGAATAAATGCAAATAAATACAAAGAAATCAAGGTGGCAGGAACGGCAGTAGCAGTTGGGGGAGGCCGACAGAGACAGTAGTGCTTGAGGTTAGTCTTAAAGGGGAGAGGTATTCTTTAAGCGCACTTCAGGAACGAGGAATGGCTAGTATACTTGACGGTTAGGTGTAAGACGACTAGAAAACTATGGGGGAGGAGGCAGGTTATAAAAGCCTCTGAATGCCAAACAGCATTTTATGTTCGATCCTGGTGGCAATAGGGAGCCAGTGGAATTTATTGAGTGGAGTGAGAGAAGGGTAAAACGGTCAGACCTGTACTTTAGGAAGATCATTTTGACAACTGAATGGACAGCAGGATGGATCAGAGGAAAGAGAGCCTTGTGGTAGGCAGACCAACCAACAGGCTATTGCAGGAGTTCTGGGCATTGGGCGACGAGCCCTCGCACCGGGGCGGCAGCAGTGTCGAAGGAGAGATGGAGTGTCCAGCGTGAGGGGCAGAGGCGTGCAGGGTGGGATGGAGATACGTGTCCAGCGAGGATCTCATGTGCGAGAGAGAGGGGATGACCGAAGATGCAAATTCCCGGAAAGACCAGAGAGAACGGACTCAAGGAGGGTCCCGGGCTTTGGCCGGAAGAGGGGTCAGCCTGCCTTGGAGCTGCAAGCTGGCGAGGACCAGGTGGATCAAAGGGCAGGGGAGCCTGGAGGGAGGCGGTGGGAAAGAGACAGACAAAGCCGCTGATCCTGACCGGCTTCTCGGGCTCTGTTTACCTCCGGGTGGCCTCCGCTCTCCGAAGCCTCCCAGGATCGTCCAGGCCGGCTTGCCGCGCCTCCAGGAAGCCCAGCATCGCTCCTGCAGCCGCACCGCAGCCGCCTCACCACCATGACCCGATCGGGCCGGCCTCGCTCGGAGAGGCGGGGCTTCAAGAGCGGCGTCACCCATTGGCCGGGATGCGGAGCACATCCACCAATAAAGAGCGCTGTTACTGGGGAGGAGCGTGGCGGGGGCGTGGCCTGAGGCTGGGAGCCCCGGCCAGGAGCTGGCTGGGAGGTGGGCTCTCTGCTCCGACGTCTCCGCCCCCGGCGGCCTCCTGGGTTAGAGCCCAGCTGAGTGAGAGGCAGCATGAGCGGATCCCAGGGTCTGCTGCGCGCCTTTTTGAGGCTCTTCTCGAAAGAAGTGAGCAGTACGTGGGCACGGACCAGTTCGGGAACAAATACTATTGCATCCCCGAGCGCAAGAACTTGCTGGGTGAGATAGTACTCCAGGGGCGGGGAGTTGGGGGGAGGGAGCGCGACCCCTGCCCAGTGACCTTTACCCCCCGCCGGGACCCCTCGCCGGTAGCGCCTGGCACTCGCCCTGCTCCTCCGGGCACCCACGTGCCCCGTCCCCGGAGTCTGAAGCGTTCCCAGAGGGGCGGTGCTCAGGTGAAGGGGTGACATTAACCTCCTGCTTCTTCCGGGAGGCAAAAAGGGAAGGGGATCTGCCCGGGTCCTCCCTGTGCCCTTTTCCTGGTGAGTGCTGCCGCAGAGGCCGGGGCCTTTCTCGCTGCCAGGAAGACGCAAGTAAGAGTGCCCCACTTGGACTTGAGTGTTGCTCTTGGGGAGCGCTTTAAAATCTTTCCCCAGGTGGGCATAATCCCTACCCTGCTGTCTGATGTGTGGATTGGCGTGCCCAGGTGTCAAGTGTGAGCACACACACCTGGCAGCCAGGGGAGGAATTGGGTGCCAGGCCAAGAAGGGTATCTTTGGCATGTCAGGATTTTGGGGTGTAACTCATTGGCCACTTACTGTGGACTTCTTAGCCCTGTAACTCGCTGTACTTCTACGCCTCGAAAGTTTTGGGGACTACTTTAGATGAAAGGAGGTTCATCTGTAAATGCAAAATAACGTCTTAGCCTGGAGAGGTTTACTGACCTGATCCAAGTGGTATAATTGTGGACCTTTGTCTTTGACTTTGGGACTTGGCCTTTCCCCATCACCAACCTGATTTCAGTTAAACAACATATGTTAAGTACCTATTTTGTGCCAGGTTCTAGGGGATGTAAAGACAGAAAACAAGAGTGCCTGCTCTCGAGGATTTTGCAATCTTTTCCCTCTTTTTTGGGGGGGTGGTGGTCTGGAGTGGGAGCTGGAGCGCAACTTCTGCCTGGAATCGTGCACGAGGTATGTAGGTGAGTAAATACAAATTTTATGCAAGAGTATAACTTAGGGTGGTGGTTGAAAACACTGCAAGGATCAGGAAAGACTTCATGTAGGAAGTGGAACTTCCCTTGACCCTTGAAGGTAGCTAGGTACTCTGAAAGGCAGAGGTGAGGAGGAAGAGCATTTCTGGAAGGAAGAATAACAGGTTATGGAAAAGCAGAAAAGTGGGAGGTAGAATGTGGTGTATGGGGAATGGCAAATAGGCTATTTTGGCCAGAATTTACAGTATATGAAGGGTTGTAATGTGAAATCAGTCTGAGTTATTGATCTGGAAGCATCTCAGGTTTCTTAAAGATCTTAAGATATTTTAAGTAAGTCATGCAGCTCCTATAGAGACAAAAAGAATAATAAAAGTTTGCATTCATATAACACTTTAAAGTTCACAAAGTATTTTACACATATTAACGTATTTGAGCTATTCAGTCTAAGCCCTTCATTTTACCCAGACAAGGAAAACTGAAACCCAGAGAAAGTGTGATTTAATAGTAGTAATCTGTTACCTAAAGTAAAGTCAAGGTGGTAATCATCAGAGTTGGGACTGATAATTGAGTGAGAAATGTGAATCGTCTTGATGTCAGAATAGAGTTTGTATTTTTTTCTTAAAGCCGCTAGCCAACCATTGAAGCTTCTCCAACAATAAAGTGACATGGTTGAACTGATGCTGTAAAAATATCAATTTGGCAGGTGTGTGGAGAATGAAAAGGGAAGAGACTGGAGATAGACCAATTAAAAGGATATTGCAATAGCCCAGTTTAGGGGGCCCTACACTAAGGTGATGACTATGTGAGTGGAGAGGAGATGGCAATAAGGGATATTCTGGAGGTAGAATTGGCCAGACTTGTCAATTTATCTAATCAGATAAATGGAGTAAAGGGGAGTGAGGAGTAAAAAGATAACTGCAAGTTGGTGAGATTGCCTGTGAACCTGTTTATCAGGATGGACATCGCTCATCTGTTCTTTCTCCATTTCCTGAGTCCAAATCTGTAGTTTTTAGTAGCCTGGAAAGATTTCAGTAAATTCATTCACAATGCATTGTAAAACGGTGAGAAGATAAAATAACTAGGGTCCAAAGTTCAGTTTGAGTTAACCAAAGCTGGATTGCTTAGCAGAAGACCTGTATTCATATCGCTGCCCTGTAACTTACTATCCATATAATCTTGGGCAAGTCACTTAGCCTGTCTTTGCCTCAGTTTCTGCTACTGTAAAAAAAAAAAGATTAGACTATATGACTGAAGGAGTCCAATCCAGTTTTAAATCTATGATATGATTCCAAAACAATCAGAATTTGATGAATTTTGGAAAGGAAGGAGTAGATTTCGGTTATTAGGGTAAAGGAGATGTTTTCAGCAGAGATAAAATAGGATAGGAAGGAAGAAAATAAGTATTATGCTCCTTCTTTGTGCCAGGCACTATACTAAGTGCTTTACAAATATCCATTTAATCCTCACAATAACCTTGGGAAGTAGGTGCTATTATTCCAGTTTTTACAGATAAAAGAAGAGTTCCTGACTCCCGTGCTTGGCACTCTATTCACTGTGCCATCTAGCTGCCCAAAAAGTACTTGTGGACTGATTAAAAAGCAATATGAAAATGATTAACCTAAATATGGTAAATATTCTGCTGTGACAGTTAGGTGCCACAGTGGATATAGCCCTGGGCCTGGAGTCAGGAAGACTTGATTTCAAGCAAGAACTAGGGAAGCTCAGGAAGACCTGAGTCCCAGACTCTTCCTAGCTTCGACCCTGGATAAGAAGACACTTAACCTGTGTCTGCTTCAGTTTCTTTGACAGCAAAATGGGGATAATAATAGCACTTGTTTCACAGGGTTGTTGTGAGGATCAAATGAGATAATATTTGTAAAACACTTAGCACACTGGTGATGAGGTGCAAGGTCACCCCAAAATATTGAGGTGCAAGATGTGTGTGTGTCTGTCTGTGTCTGTGTCTTGGTATCTCTCAAAAGAATTTGCTCAGGCTGTCTCCAGATCAGGTAAAGGCATTTATTCCAGATAACACACCAAGCAGGCTCTTCCTTAGGGGAGGTAGCAGCCCCTTAAGGGAGGCACCCCCTAGCCTGCAGAAGCTAGGGATTTTTATAGAGGAAAATACCCTATAGGCAAGGAGATGAGTTAAATAGGGATATGCAGGCAAGGTGCAGTAGCTTAGAGTTTTGATTCCATTGTCCAGCCCATTTGCCCAGGGTGAAGAGGCCCATGTTAGTTTCATTATGCCATTGGTTGTTGTCCCTCCTTCTAGAAGACCAAAATGACATCACTATGCTAGAATCAAGTTACCATGTGTCCAGCTGTGGCTGATCAGACCACTACAAGCTCGGAATGTTCTACCACAAGTCAGGCACAAATGGTCTGTATGAACATTTGGGGTGGATTCTCCAAATCTGTGCATCTCTTGAGTTTCTTTTGAGCTACTTCAATTCTGCTTTCCTCATAGAGCACAGCCTCTCTCTGATGTGAGCACGCCATGCTGAGTGGTCCTGTGCCACTGTCTCACATATCACACAATCAATTCTAAAGTTCTTAAGAGAGATCTTGAAAATGTCCTTGTATTGCTTCTTCTGACCACCATGTGAGAGATTGCCCTGTGTGAGTTCTCCATAAAATAGTCTTTTTGGCCAGTGTAAGTTTTGCATTTGAACAATGTGGCCAGCCCATATTAATTGCACTCTCTACAGGAGAGTCTGGATGCCTGGCAGTTTAGCTTGAGAAAGGACCTCAGTGTCTGGTATCTTATCCTGCCAGGTGATCTTCAGAATCTTCCTAAGACAATTTAAATGGAAGCGATTCCATTTCCTGGCATGGTGCTGCTATACTGTCCAGGTTTCACAGGCATACAGCAATGAGGTAAGCATAACAGCTCTGTAGACCTTCAGTTTGGCAGGCAATCTAATGCCTTTTCTCTCCCACACCTTCCTTCAGAGCCTCCCAAACACTGAGCTAGCTCTGGCAATGCCTGTGTCAACCTCATTATCAATGTGTACATCCCTGGAAAGTACACTACCAAGGTGAGTGAACTTAATCTATAGCATTCAAAACTTCTCCATTGACCAGTCTGTTTGAATCTCATTGTTTCCAGAAAGGCTTCAGCTAATCTCACCAGTTGGTACATAGTAGTAGGTGCTTAATAAATGCTTGTTCCCTTCCCTCCCTTACTTTTCCTGATAAGCTACATGTTAAAAGTTTTGCAAATATAAAAAGCAAAAATCAAACTTTAAACTTGGGCTGTCATAACAGTTGTTAGAGATACTAACAGTATAGATCAACACACTTGTACAGAAAATGCTAAGATGTAAGAAGCTGACTACAATTAAACCATGTAGTCCTTAGAGTTGTTAATAGGATTGTCAATTTTCAATGGAAATTGGCAGACCTGAGGACTGTCTTTAGTTAGTTTCCTGCACATTCTCCTTAACATTGCCACTGTCAGTGTCTATTGACTGCTACTGTGGCCATGGAAGATGAAATTACTCTTTATACATTTTTCTTAACTTTCTCCCTAAATTGCTTACTTTTTTTTTTATTGGATGGGTGATTT